CATGCAATAAATCCAACATATCTTTTTGTTTATTAATATCAATGTAGTTGTCTCTTATTCAAACAATTGAATATTCCTTCAAACAAAATGCCATAAAATCATATTTCTTGTCTCTTACATTTCAATGGTAATATTTTTACCGACGATAATATTGGAGCGGTCTTTCAAAACACAGATACACATATTTTAAATATTCATCGAAAAAGTGATTTAGCCCACTTGACGAAAAAAATAGAAGAAACTTTACAACAACATGTAACTTCTATTTTTTATCGATTTCTAATAGTTAATCCAGTTGATCACAATGTCACATACAACACTGCAAAAATCGAAGACGCTGAAGATGTCCATTCAATGCTTCAATGCCACTCAAGGTTTTACAGTCAACATACAATGGAGTTGTATATTTGTTTTCAACAAATGCAGGAAGTATATCCAACACAATCATCACAAACTCATGCATATCAACAAAGTCAGGTCTCCCAACAAGAAGAGTTTGTCCAAGCACAACATAATAAGCCAATATTTCCGGAAGAGGAGGTGGGTGATGATACTGACTTCGATGATGCCAGACAAATTAATTTGTTTAGTGGGTCCAGTGACGAGTCAGGTGACGAAGACAGACTGGAGGCAGACCCGACTCTTATACTTGATCTATACAACCCACATTATCACTTAAGAAATGTTTCATTTGAATGTGTGGAACCAATTTCAGTCTTTGAACCCTTAGACGAACGTGAGTCATGTGAAGACTTAAAGGTTGGTATGACGTTTGAAAACAAAGAAGCATGTCTCCGTGCAATATCTAAGTATCACATAAAAAATTATTATACTTTTAAGGTTTGTAAGTCTGATCCGACACGATATTTAATTAAATGTAAAAAGGAGGGATGCAGCTTCACATGTAGAGCTTCGTTAAGGGAGGGGTGTGGTAAATGGGTTTTTGGCAGAATTAGAGGGCCACACACTTGCATGTCGACTGCTATATCTCAAGATCACCTAAAGCTAACCTCAAAGATGATCGCCTATAACATCATACCTCTTGTTGACAGTGACGCGACAATCAAGGTTAGACATATTATTGCTCATATTCGTACGACTTATGGCTACACCGTGTCTTACAAAAAGGCATGGATTGCAAAGAACAAAGCAATCGAAGATATTTATGGCAATTGGGAAGCCTATTACAACAACCTTCCGCAGTGGTTGCTAGTCATGCAACAATTTCTCCCAGGTACCGTCATAGATCTTGAAACACTTCCTGTATATTCAAATGAAGGAACACAAATTGGTGGTGCAAGAATTTTCCATCGCCTTTTTTGGGCATTTCAACCTTGTATTAGGGGTTTCTCACATTGTAAACCTATAGTGCAGGTAGATGGTACATGGCTGCATGGAAAATATATGGGAACATTGCTCCTGGCTGTTGCACAAGATGTGAATGGTAACATTTTCCCAATCGCATATGCATTGGTCGAAGGTGAGACCGGGGGGCTTGGAGTTTCTTTCTGAAAAATTTGAGACTTCACGTCACACTCCAATCAGACTTATGTTTGATATCTGATCGACATGAGTCCATTAAGAGTGCCTACAATAATCCGGATAATGGCTGGCAGAACCCACCCTCGATGCATGTGTATTGCATTAGGCACATTGCACAAAACTTCATGCGAGCCATCAAGGATAAAAACCTTCGCAAGACAGTTGTTAACATGGGTAATTACTCTCTAATTTTTAACATGGCATTTCAATATATAGTTCTTTTATATTAATGTTTTTAATACTTTTACGCAGGGTATGCAATTAATGAGTCTATATACGCATATTATCGGGAGGAGATCCGCCAAACAAACACATAGGCTTTCAATTGGATAGAGAACCTTCCAAGAGAAAAATAGTCGCTAGCTTACGACGGAGGAGCACGATGGGGTCACATGACAACCAACCTTGCTGAATCTTTGAACTCAGTGTTGAAGGAAACCCGAAACCTACCTATTACATCACTTGTAAGATCAACATACTACAGGATGGGAACATTGTGGGGTAAGCGAGGAAATGATTGGACAAAAAATTTGTCATCGGGAAAGGAATTCACAGATAACTGCATGAAAGGAATTGCAGAAGAAGTAGAAAAATCCCACAGTTATAATGTCTTGGCTTTTGACCGTGAAAGTCAGTATTTCGTGGTTCAAGAGACGGTTAATAATAGGAATTGTCGGCCACTTACTCATTTCAACGTCAACCTCCAAACACGAACTTGTGACTGTGGGATATTTCAAACTTTTCATCTGCCTTGCTCACATGCTATCGCAACGTGTTCTCACATTAACCACGACTATACTACGTTTATTCCTGACTTATATAGAGTTATAAACGTCTTCAAAGTTTACATACAAAGTTTCCTCGGTGTTCCCCAAGAAGATAGTTGGCCTCCATATTTGGGCGATACTCTTTTGCATGATGAAAGGATGCGACGAAACAAAAAAGGCCGTCCAAACAGTACTCGTATTAGAACTGAAATGGACACTGTTGAGAAAATAAAAAGACGATGCGGTATCTGTCAACAACCACACATGCGGAAAAAATGTTCGCATCGCCTCAACAATACAGGCTCTTCTAACTAATTTTATCCATGTATTGTTATTTATAACTACTTTTAACTGTATTTTTTTATTTAGTATTCTGATTGTAATTGTGAAATTTTATTATTTAATAAAAAAATATTATTTAATTGTAATTGTTAAATAGTTATTTTAAGTTTATAATTATTTAAGTTTTTAAATTAATATTTTATTAATTAATTTTATAATTAAATAATTTATTAAATATTTATAATTAATAATAAAATTAAATAATTAAAATTATTAATATAAATAAGGTAAAAAGAAGAAAACGGAAAAAAAAATTATCAGACCATTTTACACCATTTGAGTTGGCGAGAACTTTTGCAGCCCACATATTCGTCATTTCAAATGGCGTGAACTCTCCTAGATGTGACACTTTAAACAATTTTTTTCAAAATGTGACATTTTTAAAAATTAATTTAAAAAACGTGGCATTCTGAAAAAAAAATTCACATAAGTAAACACATTGAAGTAATATTTTAATTTTTTTTAAAGAGCAAGTTACATAGAAGTGTGAAAAGTGGTCAATTGCTCAAATACGTATTGAATAAAATGACACTTTTGAATTGAAAGACTTAGAAAGAGGATTAGTGAAATATCTCTAAATAACTTTAATTAAGAGAAAATTTTAACTTTCTTGTGATTCAAACTACTCTTTTACAAATTAAAATAATTAGCCTTAATTGATTTTGGTTATGTCGAATCAAAACTGAATCTCCCTTCTCATCAATCATATCTTTTTAAGTGTCATACACCCAGTGGGGTCCAAATTAACATGTCACATATTGTTAGATATGATTTCACCAAATAAATAAAATGTTAGATGAACATATCTATCTACTATACCCAACAATTTAATTATGTCATGAATGAAAATCCCTGTTTTGATTTATCCCACTCATGCAGTACACGCCTCATTTATCAATTCTCTCTAGACTAGGTAAGTAACAGGGTTCAAATAAAATTTTCAATATTTATTTTATTCTATTTATAAATTAGTTTCAATCTTTGAGTAAGACTTCACACTAGTTTTACTTTTGGAACTTTCTTTTCTTAGCCATTATTTTCCATGCAGCCCCACAAACTCACCTAATCAAACGACAACTTCCACTTTTTGCTCTCAAGATACTATTACACAATTAATATTTTAAATAAGGAGAACAATTTTTCTCTCTCTTTTTATTTTATTTTATAAATTCTGACTTATTAATTTGGCAACATCCTTTTGGCTGTTGTAGATATTCATCACCACTTTTATGAATTCAACATCCTCTCTAAAAACAGAAAATAATTTGTTTAGAACTCTTTGTTCAACTAGTAAATACTAATATTTTAAATTGTATTTTATTTTGAATTCAAATATGAAATCTCATAATTAAATATACAAATTTTTAATAAAATAGTTATTACTACTTCATTTAAAGATTTAAAATATTAAAAACTTTTAATTGACATTTTTATATATTTTCAATTTTATAATCAAAATTTATTAATAAAAATATAAGAAATAAAAATGATAAAAATAGTAGGATGATAAATTAGTTGATAGCTTATAACTTATAATTGATTATTGATGACTTATAAATTATAATTTACAGCAGATGATTGACGACTTATCGCTGATAAGTTAATTGGAGTGTTTGATATAATTACCAGTTTAATTAATTAATAAATTAAAGTGACATAAAAGATATTTAATATTTAATATTTTTAATTTAAATTAAAATAAATTATAAATGAAAAATAAAATAAAACATGAAAAAGTATAAACTATAAATTAAAATACTATTTAAAATAATATTTAGAATATAAGTTATAAGTTAATAAAAATAAACTATAAATTTATAACGAAAAAATTGTTATTAAATAAGTCTTTTAATATCTTATAAACTTATAATATCTTATAACTGACTAATCAAAAAGAGCCATGATTAATTAAATTTTCATAGTCAATATACTTATTTTATTTTAAAATTTTAAAAACGTTTTTTAATAATAAATAAAATATGTAAAATAAATAAACTATATTTTACACAAAAAGCAGATAAAAAAAAGCTTGATAATTCAAAATTGAAACAATATCAAATATTATTTCAACCAACATATGGAATGTCTTTATTTAACTATAGACCAGAATTATCAACTCATGTTGTCTCATTTAATGCTACAATCCACAAATCTTGCATTTACTTCTCCCGTGTGTTTCGCACACACTCTTCCTTCATTATCTCTATGCTTTAAATTCTTCCATTAATAATTTACAAGCTCACCATAAATATTTTTCTTCTATTCTTCATCATTCATTCTTCTCTTTTCCTCTCTTTCACAAACTCTCCTCTCTCTCTTTTTTCTTCTTGTTGAATTTTCTTTGTCTAAATGGATAGAAAGAATCTTCATATACTTCTAATTCTACTTTTCTTGCTCATATATTTTGTTGGTGCTACCTATTGTTCTAGACACACTCAAGCTTTTTATGTGAAGAAAGAGTCCCAAGGTTTACATCAAAATTTCTTAGATTCTTTGCCAAAAGCAATACCAAAGCCACCTTCAGGTCCTTCAAGGGAGCATAATGGTATTGAATTACACAACTCAAAGAAGAAACCATAGAGAGGATTTTCTTACTACTTTCTCCCACTCATATTTTACATTAAGAAAAGTGTATGTAATTAGTTTTTGTCTTTGTCCTCAATTTTGATTAATTTTAGTTTAACTATTTATGTGTATTAATTTTTAAGTCATTTTGTAATACTTTTTAAGAGAACAGACCGTTACAATAGAAGTTCAAAGATAATGGAGAGTTCGGAGTCATCAGAATCAACAATAGATCAATGTTTTAAAATAAAAGTCATGTGAAATTTTTAGAATAACTCTAACCTAATATATAGTATGTATGCAACACATGTTTTGCTTTATTTGGGAATAAATTCGGAATTGTGATTTTAAATTATCAAAAAATTATCTATATTGCAATTACAATTACATGTTTAGACAATTTATAATCATGTCAAGGCAATTCTTCTTCCCATGGATGTGGATCTATTCTTGCCATTTGAATTCGAATAGAATACATGTGTTTTAGGTTTATTCATACTTGTATAAGATTTACTTTGTTGTTTAACAAAGTTTTAGAACTATTATACATGAAAACAAAGAGAAATTATTGACTATTGCAACATGTAAGTTTTTTGTTTCATTTGAAAACAAAAATGTGAATTAATTCCCACACCTCGACAATTCTCTTTATTTATGTGAATTAATTCCCACACCTCGATAATTCTCTTTATTTATCATATAATTAAAGCAGATAATATATTGTATTTTATTTTAAATATAAAAAAAATATGTTTTAATAAATCAATTCAGAGTTGATAGTTATGTCGGAATATTTAATTATAGAGAACGCAACTTTAATACGTGACATATCATTCTATTTTCTTCGACATCATACTATTTTCTTCTTCTTGTGTTCCAATTGTGTCTGCAAATTACTTTTTAGAAATATATATTGATATAGAAAACCCTAATGCCCTTCGCCTCATTGGATCCTCATTAATATTATTGTCCCATTTGTCTAAAAATGTCATTCTCAAAACTCAACTAAGGTTGCTAGAAAAACACATAGCAGAAGAGTGGGCTCGCATGGTTGCCCACAAGGTGGCTTAGAAAGGGGGGTAATTGTCGAGCAACTCTTATGTGCTCACAAGAATTTGGGCACAAATTTTAGACACAACTCAATAAAAAGTAAAAGTTTAAATTATATTTTGAACTATTTTTAAAACACATAAGAGAATCAAAGATAAAATTAATAGAACGTGAATGTGTCTAAAAAAGATAATATTTAGTGATCTGATTATGTAACAGTAACTTGTAATTGTCTCTTTCATTTTTGTCTTTTGATATATTGAATTAACAAATATTTTATCTGTTATTTGAGTGAATTTTGAAAAAATTTCTTTAAAAAAAACTCAAGATTCGCAAAAATATGTTTCTTAGAGATTTTAAACCCAAGACATTCCATTTGTAACAAAGCTACGCGCTTCTTTTGTGAATGATTTTACATCAAAACTATATATCCTAGCATCAAACTTGAAATGCAGTTATATTTATGGGTTAAATATATTTTTGGTTCTTATAAATATCTCAAATTTCATTTTTATTCTTTAATAAAATAATGACATGTTTTAGTCTCTACAAAATTATTATGCACGAAATTTTAGTCTTTGTTGTTAAATCAATGTGTATTTTTGAATGATTATTTTGTAGACATGTTTAGAACGTTATAAAAGTTCCTTATAAAAAAAAGAAATTTAAAATTTGATTTTTAAGTCGAGATTCTCATTATTTTTATCAATATCTTTTGAAATTTAAAAAAATCATATTTAATTCTTCTCATTTTAAAAAATTCTAAAATTTGATAAAGAAATATTTTATAGTATTCTAAATACGTATGAAAAATATTATTCAAAAATTTAAAAGTTTAAAAGTAATTAAACAGTTTTTAAAATTTTAGAAAATAGCAGAGACTAAAATTGGATGAACAAAATTTTTTTAAGGACCAAGATTTATCATTTTTTTAATAGAGATTAAAAATTAAATTTGAGATATTTATAAGCATCAAAAACATATTTAACCCTACATTTATTAATGTTATATTTTTTTAGTTTTTTAATTATTAGTTAACATTATTCATTTTATAATTATTAATTTATTAGTTAACTTTATATTGTTTTGGTTTTATAATTATTAATTTATTATTTAAATATAAATTTTATATTTATTATTAACTATAAATATTAAGGTATTATTAACTATATAAATACATAATATTAAATCAATATTATATATATATATATATATATATATATATATATATATATATATATATATATATATATATATATATATATATATATATATATATATATATATATATATATATATATATATATATATATATATATATATATATATATATATATATATATATATATATATATATATATATATATATATATATATATATATATATATATATATATATATATATATATATATATATATATATATATATATATATATATTTAATTCATATATAAAGTTTATTTAATATTATATATTTATTTAGTTAATAATATATTAATATATAGATGGTCTTATCAATGATCAGAAGTGTGCGTCCAGTCAAATAATATGCTGATGCAAGTGTTACAAGGAGGGAGGTTGTACCTGTAAGACACTCTGATTCTAAAGGCAGAAAAAGTGAGAGGTAAGAGTGTGTTAGAGTTCTGAATAAGATAACTGACTCTCCCGTGTAGAAGAGTATTTATAGAGCCTCCAGCGCTAGGCCAATGGCCTTTATTGTGGGCTAAATATCCAGGCCCATAATGGATGACCGCCAGGATTCTCACGTTAGAGTGAGGATGAGCAACACATGCTTATCATCCTGAGTCAATTGTCCAGAACTTCACGGATAATAGGCTGACCACGCCTATTACGAATGGCGTAACAACCCTGAAGTGGGCGGAATACGTTGGTTGCGTGTCCTCGGGTGAGGGGTACGTGAAGAATATGTATGCAGATCAGGACTTAACTGATTGGGCTATGGTTTGAGCCATCTCTGACATAGGGGAAATTTAGGTTGTGCCCGATGTTGGGCTAACCCCGAGCACAGTCCAGAACAGGAGCCCTCCAAGTCATTGCTCCTTGGCGAAGGAGCAATAACTTATAGTCAGCCCGTGTGTCAAGGATGATCGAGAGAATTATTTCGAGAGGGCCCTTCATTTGTGTTCGTGATTATGTGCCCGCGGTGGTGGTGTTCGTCTCAGGTGATATCTTTTCGCGGGCTAGTGCACATGAGGATGGACTTCGCTCGTGGCTGCTACCGTTTCGTCTGAGCAGATGAGATAATATGTCGGGAACATGTTCGACAGTATCAGCTCATGCTCGCGTTGTAGAGTTTGCTCCACTCACATAACTTCTCTTTGATGTTTTCTCTGAGGATGTGCCCACGAGGGAATATGAAGGTATTTGGCTTGTGTCTGTCATTCGTGGAGTTGAAAAAATTTGCAGATCTTGGAAAGACAAAAGATCCGCTTCTTGAGCCACACGTCATAGCATTTAATGCGTAATGATGGCCTAGACGTATGGTTATGATGACCTAAGAGTAGGGCTGTTGTACCCTAATTTTTTCCCCTAAGATCTCTTCATCATACCATATTGATTCATTCACAACAAGATCACACTAGGATTCTTGGTCCCCCTCCCTATATTTAGCTTTTCCCTTTTTGAGGAATCACCAAGCACCTTGACTTATGTTCTTTTGTGATCATGAATATTGTTTTTGTCTTGATTTCTTCTTTTAACTAAATAAAATACAATGTTGGTTTGTCTTGTTTGTTATCCATGTAGGTAAGGGCAATGGGATTTAACAAGTTACCCCATGGGTTCATGAGTTTATTTCCATGCCCTAGTCAATGAAGCTTGAGAATTTCAAACCTCACCATTGGATTGGTTTTGGAAGAATTGGCATGGCAATGTTATTTTGGTTCATCACATTTCAAGGTTATCAAATTTGGTTGAAAAGCACAAGGGATTGATTGGAGAAGTTGTCATGGTTGGACAAGATTTTATTCCATTTGGTCACAAGTGCATATTTCTCTCAATGTTCAAGATATGGAAGTGGTTTTGGTGGCTATGAGTTCTCATTATCATCCTCAACAAATTCTATTTACAAATCATGTGTGTTGGTACAAGAAGTTTGTTCAAAATTGTCAAAGTTCCTCAAAGCATTATCTTGATCTAAGGAGCTAGGGTTTTGAACTTCAAATGAATATATCTTGCTCATCTCTTGGTATTTTTGAATGTTTCCAAAGACATCTTTCTATTCAAAGGGTTATCAATAAATTACTTCAAGAGTTTCAAGGAGTTGTCACGAGGAAGAGACTTAATGAGGAAGAAATATTACAAATCCTCCAGATGAATCCCCAATTTTCCATGTGTGACTTCAAATGATTATAACTTGGTCAATTTTTATCACCTTGAGCCCATTCTTTTTCCATGATTATCTTGAATGTGTGAACTTTATGCCTCCTTTTATATGCAAAGTGAGAAAATGGATGGAAGTTTCCTTAATGATGCAAAATATTATAGGTCATTTCATGATTTTTTGCCAACTTCAACAATTCATAACTCTCTCAATTTTTGGAGATTTTGAATGGTTCAAGTTTCAAAATGTCATTCAAGAGATCTACTTCATGCCATCTTTTTTGGTCAAGAACAAATTCCAAGTGGAAGGCCATGTTTGGATGCAAGACATTATAGGTCATTTTTGAAGAAGAACTTGAAATATTTCTAAGTATGGAAAGTCAATCCTTTTTCTCCAACTTTGACTCAACACAACTTTCAGCTCAAGGATCCACTTGATTCCATTCTTTTTCCATTGTAAAGCTTGTAACCTCATCTTTCTAAAGCATCAAGAAACATGCCCTAAGACCCCTTGAGTGAGAATGCCATGATTTTGAAATTGGTAACTTGGAACTGAAGTTTCCTCACAAGTCAGATTTTGAAATCTTTGTTTTGGCTTCTAATCACAAGCTTTCCACGCGTTT